AAAGGGAAAGAGAATGTTTTATCTTTCTGTGTAAGTGGGCATGGACAGACTTTAATGCTGCAGCTGGAAGCACTTCTGAATCCCTTTTATCACTGGAGATCTGCGGATGGTACTTAATGGCAGATAGATGGGAGCCAAGCACAAAGAGGAGTTCTAGGTTTTTGCCCATGCAGTGAGCTCCAAGTGCTGGGAGTAGAAACTGTGCATCTGCTTGACTCTAAGCCTGCATCTCACTCGACTCTGTGCTTCAGCTGCCACGCGGCAGTTAAAATGAGATACCCAGTAGGCCAGAGAGTTTTGTGATGTTTAGCTAATAGGCTATGTCTTCCATCCTATTGTAACTGCCTCTGTGTTCAAAAACAATACAGCAGAAAACTTGTGTGCCTCCGTGCAGACCACAAAATATAAATGAGTGCTGAGTTAATGATTGAAAACTCATCGTGTCAGCTTACTGCCGCTAGGTGTTTTTACTTGCCCATGCCTAGGAACTGAAGTTGTGCAATAATCTGTTCTGGCCAACTAGGCATCCAAAAACCACCAACTACTTTTCCTACATCTTGTCCTGTTGTTTTAGTTGTATTCATGCTATTTTTTTCTAAAACAGCCTCCTCTGGTTAGTATTATTTCATCACATGTTAGGATGTGCTATTAGGATTGTAACAATAGTGGTTTTTAAGATTCTTGAATTCGGAAATTCCCAATTAGAGCGAAATGCTCACAATGACTTTGTGAAAATGGCCTCCTTCCACCTTAAAATGTTAAAAGATGAAGTACCAAAGTTAATTACTTAGTCAGCTGCATTTTACTTTTCTTTCCTCTTCTCTGCCTAGATATAATGTGATGATATTAGCACTCAAACAGCCATAGTTTATATATAAGTTAATGAGTTTGACACCTTCTATGGCCTTTCTTTATTACATAGAAGCTTACCTTGGATTTCCAATTAGATATTACTGTAGATATATTAAGATTATTTTTTAAATTATTTGGAAAAATAAGGAGGGACTAAATAGCACAAAGTTACTCTCTGATTTAGACAGGATCCCAGCTTTAAAATAACTTCATTTTTGTAGTTTGGACATGGACAAGAGCTCATTGTAAACTTAGATAATTGTTTCTGTGCTTCAGGAAAGAAAATTGAAAAAAGAAACAAAGGTGGAATCAAACACTAAACATTAAGTTGATCATTAGGCTGTTACCAGACTTGGTCATAGTCAAATAGTAATCCTTGTTTGAACTTGAACTCCTTGTTCACTGCCCCATATTAAAATTCAGAACTCTGAAGTACAAATAAGGTAATATTAAGTATTTGCATTAAAATTAAATCAGTATATCCGTAGGATGATTTCTCGCCCAATACCTTCAAACCCTTAATGAGTTCTGTGTGGCTCCAGTTCCCCCTCCCATACATCTTGCCCTTAATATGAAGGCAGCCTTACACCAACTGCAAATGTTTCTGTGCAGTCAAGGACCCAAGTGCCGTTGGAAGTTTTCTGATTACAATAGATTTCTGATTACATCTAACTAGAATCAGCACACAAAAGCAGCTGCTGGGAAATAAGGAGGCCATATAACCCGTACCACAGGGGGGCCTAGATATTTAGAGTTGTCTATAGGGTGATCATTGCTAGACAGAGCTATTTGAGCTGCCACCTCTTTTCTCTCATCAAAGCCATTCACACACTGATGCCCACATCCTGAACACAGCAGTAAGATGTACCCCAGGTTCTCGTATACCGTATTTTCCCAAGGTGCTTCTGGTTTGCACCAGGATGGGGAGAGGAGAATCAGAACTTAAGTGAGCTGGAAGAAGGAAATAGACTGGGATGAAAAGCATCAGGAGAAAGGTAGACTCATCCTCATATCCATAAGTAAACAATTTTGAGGGGATGGCTTAGGCTGCCACTTGGAGTTTGAGCTCGAGTTTTACAGTGCTTGTATGACTGAAGGAGACACAGTGTTGATGGATATCTGGTGTGGATGAATGTGTGGATTGGCCTTAACAGTAAGGGATATATTCAGCAGAGACTTTGTTAACGTAAAAATACAGAGGTTTTTGTGATTTTGAAATTAAATCATTACTGCTGTTTCCTCTTTTCTGCTTAAAGTCGCCAAAATTCCTTAGGAAATATTTTCTGAAGAGGGACTGTGCTTTCTGTTTCTGCTAATTGTTTCCATTCTATGAAATTAACTGATAACTGCTAGCTCAACTGAAGCATTTGAACTTGGTGTTCTTAACTGCTGTTAGGTAATACAGTGTGACTGTATAGGCTTTGTAACCAAATCCCCAGTCCATGATACGCAAATATGGCAAGGCCAGGGAAAAGTTGGAGCTTTAGACAGTCTTCTCCTGGAATGAGAAGGAAATAGATTTCTTTGTTAAAGCTGGTACAGTTTAGGATTTTGTAATGGTACATGACACTGCAAAGACAATGCTGAGACATGCATTTACATTTTAGGAATACAAAGCCCTGGCTGTTAAATGGAAATTGTAAGCTAGGCCAACACTTGATTATAATAAGGAAAGGAACAAAAATAAGCCACATTTTCTGCAATTTCCCAGTGAATCAGTAGAATGAAGCCTGTAACAGATTTTCCTTGTGTAAAGCAATGCCAAGATAAGAGCATTCCATTCAATGCTACCACAATCCCTGTCAAGAAAGGGACTCTACCTGCTCACTTTAGAGGCTGAGCTCAGTGTAAGCATTATGACTGGGGGAGAAAAAATATTCCTGTTCTTCACAAAATAAAGTGCTCTCTGTATGTTACAGTCTATCTCAAGATCCTCCTGGCTCTGATAAGCTTCTGTGTCTGTCAGGAGGTGAATCTTCCTCCAGTGTGTGAGCATTCCCTGGGCTCTGGCTGCCCTTTGGAGGCCACACAGGGGCTCAGAAGCTGTAATTGCACCTCCAGATGTAATTGGGAGTAAAGGGGAGATGATCTTTGGAGACATGGGCCAATTTTATTCTATTTTTTCTGTTTATTTTGAATATTGAAAATAAGCCAACAGAAAATCATAGAGTAATGCAAAGGATGTTTCTCAAATGTACTTTTTAGGAGGGAGAGAAATTGTGCCAGAAAGACTGCTGAAGAGTAGAGCAGATGAGCCCGTTCAGCCTATATAAATGAGATATGTGTATGTGCGCATCTCTCTCTTTTCAACAAAACATTTTAGCAGAAGCTGACTAGAGGGAAATGTCTACAAGAAGACAGAAGGCAGAGAGAAGTCAGAGGGCAGTAGAATGGGTCAGAATGCTCAGGAGACCAAGAAGCTCTGAAAGCTACTGAGGCTTTGAGAGGATTTCCCATAACTTCTCAAAGAAGGCTTACCTGCCTCATCCAGCATACCAGCAGTCTAGCTGCACTCTGTACTGTGCAGTGAAATAGCAATGAGGAAACAGTGACCAAATACTATCTCAATGAATTTAAATTTAAACATCACCAGACAGATATTTTGGGGATAAATAAAGCATAATCCTCGAGTCTGTGGGAGGCATGACAACATCCCTTAGAGAAGTTAATATAAAACTCTTTGTATGCGTGTGCAGTCTGGTATGTAAACTATTTTTTTCTCGATCATATAATGTGTAAGGTTTATATAGTGTCTGAAGAGCTGGATAGCTTTGGTTCAGGCAAGCACAGAGTAGAAAGTTACCAGTCAAAACTGTTAAAAAATTGACTCTCGTATAGGACAGTTTTACTCTCCTTAACTTTCTTTCCTTAGTTGATTCACTGAAAAAAATTCATCTACTTCTGATAACCTTTTGAGTAGAAACTGGTGGATATGAGCCACTAAGCAAAGTCAGTGAGCAGCTTGTTGCAGACTGTATCTTGTTGTAAACTTGATATTCTATATATTGTATTGAATTGTTTATCAGGAAGGAGCCTTTCAAGTGTGACAGCAGAGGTCCAGCTACTTCTGTTAAAGTCCACAGAAAATTTCCCATCTAGCTTTAATTTCAATTAAGCTGTTGTTATGGTATCTGAGCAAAGTCCTGTGAAATCAACAGGCGTTACTTCCTCCTGTTGTAGTGGGAGCTACAGTATCTTGTTAGAGAAATCAGTGCAAACTGTGTAGTTCATGCTCAGGTAAGGTTTATGTGATTTGAAATCATCTGTGCTGGCCATAGTGCACCACCACACAGCTGAACACTATAGAGCCTGCACTGATGTTTGGGTTCAGCACGCTGCACAGTAAATTAGTGCAGGCTAAGGCTCATGAGGCTGTTTCTTTACCGTACAGTAGCTTGATGTTCCTCTGACTGCTGTCTCTTAGACTATGGCTACTCTATTAACTTGCCTCAAAACCAGTCAGTCTGTGGCTATCCTTCTGCATTAGTCCTTTATTAAATCATTGATTAAAAAACTAGGAGACTGTCCAGACAATTGCAAAAAGCTTTTGTTAATAAAGTGTTGATCATGCAGCACTTCAATCAGGAAGTGTCCCAAGGAGACAAGTAGATGTTACATCCTTAGCCAGCTGCTGCTTCACATCTTCCTTACAGCATGCTGTGTGGCAGCAGGCATCTCCATTCCCAAGGACCTATTTTTTTGTTGTAGAGATGTTTCCATGATAAAGATATTAACAGCTGCATTGAATTCCCTTGAACTAGTAGAAGCTTGTCATACAAATATTTCTAGATATTTTTTCAGATATATCTATTTACATACTTTTGGCTTCTCAGCCTGGACAGCACCCATATGTATTTTAAATAAAGTTCATTCCAAAGGTGATTACATTTTTTTTGGCGCTCTAAGCTTTTTGGGGGGAGTAGAATAGTTTTCTGAGAAGCTTGGTAGAAAGTTTGGCACCGACATACGTACAGTCAGGATATAAACCACTTTGTGGTCTAATTACAGTGTGTGTCAACATGGTAATGCGATACAACACAGTCTGCTGGGATTGTGTTGTGTTGCATTACCAAGCTGTTTAAATACTGCCCAAATCAGGCTATTTACAGGTGCTTTTTCTTCTTCATTAACATCTTATCTTTTTACAGTTAATCATATCACTGAAATGAGTCCTCTTTCCCTTGGAAGAAGAAATTTCATTATAATTCAGATTTCTTTATAACATAATAATGTATAGCAGATTAAGAGGTGTCATGTCCTACCAACCCAAGAGACCTCAACCAGTAAATGAGTTTCTTGTTACGTGTTGCACTGTAAGTGCTTGCTGGATGCTCCCATCTTGTTAAATCACTAGCCTTTTTGAGTTCTGCCTTCATGTACTTCTACTGGAAGTCACACAACACAAGAGTTTCTGGTTGTAAAACAGTCTGGTGCAATGAGAATTTAAAAATTCACTAGTCACAGATTCTCTGTTCTTTGTCTTTAGGATGGTTTAATGCTGTGCCATATAGAAAGGTGATTGTTACTGTTGTCAAAGTAAATACACATATAGATGTTTACAGGTGAATAGGAAAATAGTTTTGGTTGCTATTACTTTGTGCTTTTGGATTCTGTCCTTACCAGGAATGAAGTGTTTAAATATTGCATTGAAAACAGAACTCAAATTGCTATTCTCTTGTTTATGTACTTCTACTTGTACCTGAAAATTAGATTTTTAAGTTCAAGGAGATATAGTTCAGCTACTTGGTTCCAGCTAAGACAGAAATTTGTTCAGACTTGATGGAATTTGAAGGAATTCTTTACTGAGAATATGCTTAAAGGTGGCTGTTAGGCTTACAACTGCTGATAGCAGTGTAGGCATAGAGGAATATTTGTGCTAGTGTTATCGGCTGGGTGATATTGTTACCACAGAATTGGACTGGTTGAGGTTGGAAGGGATCTTTGAAGGTCATCTGATCCAAGCCACCTTCTCAGATAGGGACACTGAGCCAGTTGCCCAAGACCATGTCCAGACATTAAATATCCACAACCTCTCTGGGTAACCTGTGCCTAGTACTTAGCTACCCATCTGGTAAAAAAATGTGTTTCCTGATTTTCAGAGGGAACCTCCTGTGTTTAATTTGGCGCCCATTGCCTGTGGTTCTGTCACTGGGCACCACTGAAAAAAGTCTGTCTCTCTCATCTTTGCACCCTTCCTTCAGGTATTTATATACATTAATAAGATGCCCCTGAGCCTTCTCTTCTCCGGGCTGAACAGTCTCAGCTCTCTCAGTCTTTCCTCATTCATCTTTGTGGCCCTTCGTTGGTCTCTCTCCAGCATGTCCATGTCTCTCTCATACTGGGGAGGTCAGACACGGACAGAGTCCTCCAGCTGTGGCCTCACCAGTACTGAGCAGAGGGGAAGGGTCACCTCCCTTGACCTGCTGGCAATGCTTTCTCTGATGCAGCCTGGGATACCAGGCACTGCCTTTGCCACAAAGGTACTTCTCATGTTCAACTTGGTGTCCACCAGGACCCCCAGGGTGTTTTCTGCAAAGCTGCTTTCCAGCTGGGTGGCCCCAGCATATATTGGTGCATGGTGGTGTTCCTCCCCAGATGCAGGACTTTCCACTTCTCTCCCTTGTAATAGGTAGCAAACCGTCTGTTCATCAAATCAAGTAGGAAGACAATAGAAAAGCAAACGGTCATACGAACTATTGTACGTTGTGTAATACTAACAGCAAATGTTTAATTGAATTAAACATTATAAGTGTATATGGTGACAGGAAGAAAAGGGGGGGTGAACAACAAGAGAAGAAGCATCTGCACAAAGAGGTGTAAAGAGTTAAGCCAACAAGGGAGCATTCCCGACCATAAATCTCTTATTCAAGGAGACTGCTGGGCCTAGGCTGATAAGGACACTGCAGACTTGGTGGATCATCACATTCCAGGCCAAGGGTGAAAAGTACACTGTGAGGAGGACCTGCGGCCTTCATCCCAGACGACCACCGCCCATAATTTAGAGACCCCTACCCGTATTTTTGACAGTTTCTGCGCAAGCGTAAAAGACTGATAAGATAATTACCATACAAAGCGGGAGTAGGAGGGATTAGGTCATGTATATGTATAGGTGTTTAATGAATATGCAATGCTTTGTAGTATAAAATTAAGACAAAATTCCTTGAGAGGTGCGGGCCGTTGTTGGAGCAGGAGACTCCCCGGCCGCCCAGCGCTGTTTTGCTTGTTGCCGCTTGCTAAACAAAACTCTGACTCAGCCAAATTTAAGAAGTCAGTTTATAGCATCCCTGTTGAACTGCATGAGGTTCCTGTCAGCCTAGCTCTCCAGCCTGTCCAGGTCCCTCTGATTGGTGGCACAACCCTCTGGTGTACCAGCCACTTCCCAGTTTGTGTCATCTGCATACTTGGTGAGGGTGCACTCTGCCCCATCATCCAGATGATTAACAAAGTTGTTAAACAGGACTGGACCCAGTATCAATGCCTGGGGTACACCACTAGTTGCTGGCCTCCAACTAGGCTTCATGCCAGTTTTCAATCTACCTCAGGGTCTGTTCATCCAGCCCATACATCAACAGCTTCTCTAGGAGGATCTTATGGGAGACGGTGTTGAAAGCCTTACTGAAGTCTAGGCAGGCAATATCCCCTGCTTTCCTCTCATCTGATAAGGTGGTTGCTTCATCAGAGAAGGTTATAGAGTTGGCCAAGTATGTCTTCCCCTCAGTGAATCCAAGGGTGTATCCATTCTTACACACTGCAGTTCTCCCAGCAAGCGTTAAGACTTGGTAGGTGTCCTGGGTTGCAGTGTATTCTCTTACCATCCTCATGAGCTGTGGAAATCAGGTGGGGCAGCGTTTCCTTGTGCCCCCCACCCTCCAGACTATCTCTCTGCTAATGGCCCATCAGTGCCATGCAGCATGACTCATTGTCCCATTGTGAGATGCTCCACCCAGAGGGAGAAAACCAGCATTCCATCCTGGATATAACCTGAGATTCTGAATACCAGAGGCCTCTCTTTTCCACTGGATTTCCAGAGGACAGGAGCTGCTTAGCCACCACTGGACTTTTCTGAGGAAGAGCAGATCTTTTTTTTTTTTTTCTTTCTCCTCTCTCCGGGATCACTGCTTCGGGGGGACTGCAGCCACCATTCTACCAGACTGCTACCACCACCCTGATTAACAGTGATTAACAGGGTGTCAGGTTGTATCCTGACTCTGTTAGTTTAACCCAATGTTATCTGCCTTTTTTTTTTTCTTATTAAATTGTCATTCTGACGGTGTCTCCCACTAGTTTGTTTTCAAACTAGCACAGTAGGATACACTGTGGTGTTACCGTTGAGAGGACAGCAGGAACCAGACATTTTTGCTAGGCTGGGTTTTTTGAAAGGGGATAGCTGAGGTGTCTGTGTGAGGTATGAACTATATACATTAGTAAAATAGATTATGGTGTCAGTTTATGCCATGCCTTTGTCACCATTTTCTGTCCTAATTACAAACTGGTCTCTAAAACCATTACTTCTGCAGCTTCCCATACTGGTATCACTGGTGCCAGAAAGGGTTGTGCTCTCAAGAAAAAAGGGCTTTTATGGTTGTACCCTTGAACTGAGGAAGCAAAGACTCAAATTGTTTAGAAACTGATGGGAATCAGAGAGCCCTTGACTGGCTTTCCTGCAGGAGGCAGCATTTTTCTCCTCCCAGTGCAGCAACAGGAGAGAGATTTTGTGTCCTTAGCTTTTCTGCATTAGCAATCAGTGCTGCCCTTCGGTGCCTGCCACAGTGTCACGGGCACAGCCACAGTGCCCTCCGGTGCCCTGGTGTCTTCCACTTCCCCCTTCCCCACTGCTTCTTGCACCATGTCAGAAAGCTGCTGCCTCAGTCGAATATTAATAACACCACCACCACATTTCCATTAAAACCATTGTTGTTATTTAAGAAGTGCTTGAAGGAACCATAGAAAATTCTGATCACTTCTCAGAAATGAGACTGCATCGCAGAAATGCCTTCAGTGGAATCTTTCCCTGGTGTACGGCAGCATCGGTGCAGCCACTCTGGCTGCGCAGGGGATGTAAGGACAGAGCATCGTATAGCAGTGGGAACACCGTGTCGTACTGAGCTGTGCCACACGAAACAGGCAGTTGCATTTTACAAGGGTCCTTGCTGCAGTTTAGAGCAGTTCAAATGTGTAACTTGAAACATTTATTTTATGAATTAAACTTTCTGAAGAAAGGACAAGAATTCACTGGAGAACTTTTAAAATATTCTACTCCCAAAAGCTAGTAAGTTCTCTGCATCTAAACTTAAGCTATACAGCAAGGTGTAGAGATGTACAGAGAAACATGAGGCATGGTGATACAATGCTCTCCAAAGCCAGATAAATTTTGCTTGAAAGCAACTTCAGAAGCAAGTTTTTCAGTACAGCAGTGGATTATGCAGTGAAAACTGTTCTACAGTGCCATGCTTCTGTGCAAGGGCTTCACGTGAAAAGAACTTGCCTTGCAGCTGGAAACTTAAAGCCATATGGTTTCAAAGAGACAGGGGAAAAGAACCAGAGGGAGATCAGCTTAAGAGAAGTCTGGCGACCAAGTAAATGCTGTTGATAACAGAAGAAAGGCAGTGTTAAGGACAACTAAACATAAGGGCGCTTTAGGTTCCTGTTACAGCTCTAACCACCCACACTGGCTTTTGGAAGGATCACTTTGTTTCTTAGTGTCTTACATACCTGGCCTGACCTTCACAGGGGCCTCTTTGGTTGCAAACCACCAGATACCTGATGCAATGGACTGATGGGACAGCAAAATTATGCTTTGTATGAGCAAGACTGTGTCTGTATGTGTAAGAGAGCGGGGCCTTCCCTGGCTTCTGGAGGGAGAAGCTGGCAGTGGGCAGACCCAGCAGTGAGGAGAAGGGTGAGAGTCAGAGGAAGGACATTTGCCTCGCTTTCTCTCAAGCTGTCTGACGATGCTACACTAAGCACGTGGCTGATACTGGAAAGAGGAAGGGCAGATGCGGGTGAGGCTGGGCACACAGGCTGGGGGGACCTTTCCAGGGACAGGAGACTGGCTCTGTGATGGTGCCCTCAGTTTCCAGGGAAGGCTAAGCCTCTGAGAGGTTTTTTTGAAGTGCTGCCAGATCCTTGCCTATGATCAGATGTGGTGCTTCATAGGTTTATTAGAGGGTTTGATTAGCAGGTGCTAAAGAGTTTAGCTCCAATCCTGAAAAGAGATATATTGGTTCAAAACATTATTTGGATTTTATGGGTGTTTACACAGCACTTTTCCAAGACATTTAGA